CACCATCATTCTAATAGCCATAAATAACCACGAGGGGTGGAAGGCACAGGGGACATTTTCAGTTTCACTCTCTTAAGCGGAGCTCCGTGCCGGGGCAGTGAGGCAGTGACCCTGCCCGGAGGAAGATGCTCTCCAGGCAGCCCAGTTATGGGGAGCCTCTTGCCTGGCTGGACGGCTTGCAGGCAGCACAACCCGCCTGCAATTGACACCCACTCGATATAGTAAGTGAAAAACCTCAAAGTGAAACACTGGCGGAGCTAATGGCACAACAGGATGTTACCAAAAAAAACCAACCCCCTTGTCCTCATAGCATCTTCTCTGTTGCAAACCAGCCCCAGGAACCTCCTTTCCTCAATAATTTAAACCAAATGAACCCAGAATCTGCATTTTCTTCAGCTTTCAACGGTGACAGTTGCACTTCTGCAAACACAAAGCAGCAGCAGTGCCAAAGCACCAAAGATTCACCCATCTTTGCTCTTTTTTCTCCCCTCATGCACAGCTTCCCTTACCCACCAGTACCCTCCACGAGTGTGCTGGGACAGGACCAGTAACACTGCAGTATGGTCCTCACTCTTGTGCCTCTGCCAGGCCTCCCACCTGTGTTTCACAGCTGGCAGCAGTCAGGGATTTTTTTTCTGAAAATTGTTTTCATTTTCAAGCAGCTCCTTGCAGTCGGTGTTGGCCAGTTCCCCCTTCTCCTCCCCAGCGGCTGAAAAACAAGCAGGGTGGGACTGCTCCCTGCCTGATCTTGGGGGGCACAGCCTCCTCCTAGCTATTTTCTTTTTATTTTTTTTCTCTTTTTTTGCAGCTGGCTCAGCAGCGCTTGTTTCCTCATTCACAAGCCATAACTCACTGCCCCACTTCTCTTGTCGTCCTCTGCATGCTTTGCAGAGGTCTAGTGCCTCACAGCAGCCCCTACACCTCTGCCAGCTCTGCTGGCCTCAGGCAAGCTTCTCCCTGCTGCTATTAAAAGCTGATGCTCAGCTATATTTAAAACATGCCTCTCCTCCAGGGCTTGTTTCTAGAGTGAAGTTGTGCTCCTAGCCCTGCCGGGACATTGCTACAGAGTAAGTGAGGGGCTCACACTGTGCTTCCCATCTCCCTTGGTTTGGGATATGCGGAGCTCATGAGTTTTTCTTGCCCTAAGGGCATGGGTGAAGTCTGTTTTCCCTCTGCCTGCAGGCTGGTGTTGATGCTCTCTGATTGCTCTCTGCAATCCCAGCCATCTGACTGCCAACATCAGTGGTGGGGTTTGCAGCGCTTGTTTGGGGAGGGAGCACCGTTTTGATACCAACTCAGGGTAAGCCCAGGGCTGTAGGGTCTGACTCAGCTGCCCTGCCTTCTCCCCGGCAGGAGGGCCAGCAGCTTTCCTGATCACCACCCCGTACTCGCTCTGTGTCTGCCCTGAGGGCCAGAACGTCACCCTGACCTGCCGGATTAGTGGTTCCCTCGCTGACCGCCATGACCTGCTCTACAAAACCTGGTACTTCAGCAGCAACGGCGACCAGAGCTGCTCCGAGAAGAAGCACATCCGCAATGTCACTGAGAAGGAGCTGCACCACGACCTGGGCAGGCACCATGAGCTGCTGGGCAACAGCACCCAAAAATCCCCCCTCGGGATGCAAGCCAGCCATCACGGGGTGGAGTTTGTCCCCGACCACCATGGTGCCTTTCACATCATGGTGATGAACCTGACGCTGCAGGACAGTGGGAATTATTGCTGCTATGCTGTGGAGGCCAGGAGGGAGCACGGCAAACCCCACACCCTGCAGGTCGCTCATGGCTTCGTGGAGCTGCAGATTCAGCAAGGTGAGGGGGGCAAGGGGAGCCCCTGCCAGCCCCGCATCCATGCCAGGGTGTGACAGGGCAAGACAGCAGATAAGGGCTGATGGGGAATGTGGGGTGCAGCATCAGGGCTGGGGAGGCAGGGAGTGCTGATGCTGAAAGCGCAAGCCATGTTGCTAGAGTCAAAGAGCAGCAGATATTGAAGGTTTGAATTAGGGCCAAAGAGCATTGGAACACTAAAAAAAAAAAAAAAAAAAAAAAAAGCAAGAGGCCGCAAAGCAATAAAATCCATGCTACATAGTTTCACTGATCTTCTTCAACCTCTTTCTGAGAGAGAGGAAAACAAACCCCAACATGAAAGGAGCTGGCTGGTGGTGCAAGCCTGAGTGAGGGCTACAGGCATTGCTTAGGATGCAGGGCTTGTAGATAACCTCAGGGCAGCAGCCCAGTGGGATGAGTTGCCCAGGCAGGCACGAGATGGAGGGGAAAGCATCCTGCCCTTGATTTGTAGCCTTAGGATAGATAATTTTCTTTTAGACCAAAAAAAAAAAAAAAAAAAAAAAAAGGCCGCCAGCGCCA